TGAACAGGTGTTCCCCCAGATCCTGATCCTTTTCATGATATTTTACCTGAATTAAGGTTCTGAATTGAGATAACTGTGATTTATATAATGTATACACAGCATACAGTGCGATTTACTGAAAAAAAGGAGCAAAGTTATCAAATGTGTGTAAAAAGACAAACATCTTCTTTTCATGGAAAAAAAGCCATTCTATTTTCTTCTTTTTTTCCTTTAAGGAGTTCTTCTCCTGTGAAAAAAATACTAAAAAGGCAATTACTTATTCAAAAAGTCTGTTTCTCATGTGTGTTCAGTCATTTTGGTTATTTAAAAGACAACAACTTTAATTACCCTTCACCCTTCACTCTTGTTAGCACTATAAAGCTGAGGCCCTCTCTACATGTTACAGGTATTGCACAACTGACTAGTTAACTGCACAATTACCTGGAGATCAGCTACATCTGCAAAGTAGGAGTTTACTCTCATCCTCAGGGTGAGAGGATTGCCTCTGCAGTGATCCTCTAGTTCAGGGAGTTTCCCTGCACCTTTGGGTAGGGAGATTACTTCTGTAGCAAACTTCCAGCCCCGCCGTTTTCCCTCCCTGTACCCCTAGGGCAGGGAAATTGCTGCAATGGGGTTCCTCCAGCCCTTGGGTGGGGCAACCCCATGGCTTGGAGCCCCTCATCTGGGGTATATGAGGTTCCCAGTTTTGGAAGCCTGCTTCTTGTCAGTGCAGCAGAAACCTGAGATCAGGCTCCCCTTGTAATGACACTAAGGCACTGTAACAGGGTAGCATCTTCACCAGGTCTATGCCAACTGCCTACCTGTCTCTGGGGTAACCTCTTGCCTTGTTCACCTGCCACACCTTGATAGTAACAATTTTCATATTTTTTCTAAGGCAGGAGGCTACCCATTTTCTTTGCCCTCCTGATCACCAGGGCCTTAGTACACGTTCCGGCCTCCCCTTTATGTGTCCCATGTCTTGCAGATATTTCTTCAGTGGTTAGCACAGGGACCCGAGCTCTGGAGCCTCACATAGGACTCTCATTCCCCACCAGAGCTTGTAGTCCCAGCACCCCCACACTGGGTTCTCTCACTTGTCTCTCTCAGCCCCTTCACCAGAGCCACTACTCTCACCTCTCTCCAGGCCACTACACCCCCTCTCCAGGCCACTACTCTTGGGAGCTTCCCTCTGGCTCCCCCTCTGCAGCCATAGGACTCTATGATGAGCCTAAGTGCTGCCCAGGGTCCCTCCTCCTGACCCGCGCCCTGCCTCGGAGCTCACCCGGAGTCTGGGCTCCCCCGGTCCAGTCTTAGTTCCACCATGGATGTGGTGCTGGGGTTAGGAGGTATCTCATACTCACCTTTCACCAGGGCGGTAACTGGCCTGGCATTTCCTGG